CATTGCCAAGCAGAGGAGGCCTGGGGCAGGGGGCTATACATGTGTCCTTCCTATGAAGACAAAGGCAGGGGGTCCTGGGGGGCCAGTGCAGTCCAGGGGCGACCCGGGGCAGGCAAAGGACTGCCCCAGCCCAGATTTGAAGTTTTCAGGCCCCAGGGTTTTCAGGAAGCAGCAAATGCAGTCCTTCGATGGGGAGGAGGCAGGGCAGGACAGCTAGGCTCTTTAGAGAGGGTCTCCCAAAGCCCTGACTGCTGAGCGAGGCAGAGTGGAACCCCTCTGGCCCCCCATGTGCACTGCTCCTGCCCCCCTGCCAGGCCAGACTCTCCCTCCACTCTAGCCTCAGTTCCTGCCTCTGCTGTGGGTTTGGAGGGTGGGAAGTTCCCAGAGAGAGCTGGAGTGGGGCAGGACCCGTCTCTTTTCCACGCCGCCTCCAAGCACCTGTCCCCACCTGCTCTGAAGTGGCCCCTCTGCTCTCCTCACTCCTTTCCCTCCCCAGCAACAAGCTGGCCCCGGGCCTCCTGCCGTGGGCCTGCCTGCCCTGCCTCCCAGGTCATGGACTGGAAGGAGCAGAGCCCGCCTCCCACCTCTGGCCTTGTCTTATCTGCCCAGGAATGGCAGCCTGCCTGATGTCCCCAACCACTCTTGTCTCTCTTCTCCCTTCTGCCTTGCCACAGCTGCCCCGCCTCAGGCCTCTGGGATCATTCAGATCCATCACCGGCCCTTGCTGGGGGGCCATGGGCCAGGGCCCACAGGTCCCTCCTGGCTCAACATGATGCCTGGGGCCTTTGAAGCACCCAGTCCCCTCGACCCACTTTTCCTACCACCCTAACACCAGGCTGTGGCTGCTCCAGGACCTGGTGGGGGGCTGGAGACCCTGGTGCGGACCTTAGGCTCTTCCCAGAGTGCCCTCTCGCAGCCCCACCTGCCCACCTTTCTCAGGGGAGTTCCTGCAGGCTGCCCATCTTCGGGTGCTGTCTCTGGACTGCAGGAGGAAGTATAGGGGGAGACAGTTCAGTGAAGCCGTGACCACCGCAGACCCTGATACCACAGTGTGAAGTAAGCAGAGCTGGTTCTGTCAACCCCAGATTATAACTAGTGTCCTGACCACAGGCCGCGCTGCTGACTGCTGCTCCTGAGAATCCTGGCTGCCTCCACAGGGCCCCCCCGCCCCCAACACTGCCCGGTCCACACCTGGGTGGAGACCGAGCAAGGCTGCAAACCCAGGCCACAGGAGCCAGTCTGGCCAGCAGGGGGTGTCCGTAAGGCCCCACCAGAAGCCCCGGCCACCATCCATCCTCAGGACACAGGGCTGAGGGAGCAGGAGGGGTGACAACAGTGAGCCCTTCACAAGTGTTCAGAGGGGAGCCAGTCAGAGGGACATGGGGGTTCCTGGGAGGAGCTGGAGGGCAGTCTCCAGCAGGAGGCCCCCTTTATGGCTTTTCAGTTAATTCACACAGTGGGAGGAAGGGGCACACCACACACATACACGGGACAGAGAAGCTACTGGGACACCAGACACCAGGCTGGACACAGCACATCGCCTTCCCGAGGGTTAGCTCTGCAGGCGGACGTGCAGGAGATGGCAGGAGGGCCTTCCGGGGCTCCCATGGTCCTCCAGCATCTCCAACGGGTGGGGCTGGACCAGAGATGGAAACCAACACCCGTGGGCCAATGGCTCCCATTGGGGGGTTCCCGATGGGTGGAGGCTGGGTGGGGCTGGGGGACAAAGACTTGACACGGCATAAAATTGAAGGAGCAGACTCAACAAGTTCTGTAAAATGGGTTTGAGGTTGGGGGAGTAGGAGGCTTTCAGCATTGCCATGCGGCTTTTTACAGAAAGTTATATACATGCATCTTGGTTCAACAAGATTCTGTTCATATGTTTATAGATAACTATCTTCTTTTATATATAACTAAACACACAAGGAGGGGGATTGATGAGGCTCAAATGGCTTCAGAAGGTTCTTTTTTTGTCGTCACTTAAAAAATATATTCATGTGTCTTCGAGTCACAGTGTCCCCTTCACAATATTGCAGTTCGAAAAACAGGTCAAATGAAATCCTTGGTGGCCAGTCTCTGGCCCCCTGGGACCGAGGGGAAGAGGAGACAAGTGGTCAGAGGTAGGGTTGCCAGATAAAATACAGGCTGTCCAGTTAAATTTGAATTTCAGATAGACGACTAATAATTTTTTAGCATAGTATTTGGGACATACTTATAAATTATTCACTGTTAATCGGAAATTCAGATTTAACTGGGAAACCTCTATTTTTCTTTGCTAAATCTGGCAACCCTATCATAGGGACTGGGGTCACCGAGGTCAGACTTTGGGACTCCTCCCTGCCTGCCACCACCCGGGACTCTGAGAAAGGGCCCTAGCCAGCCTGGGGAGGCGGTCAGGGCAGGGTGAAGGATGTGAGGGCAGTTCCTGGCTCAATCTCTTCCTGCCTTCAGGAGGAAGGAGCAACAGCCTCTCTCTCTATAAGGCTGGGTGAGACCCAGGACTCAGATGCCTCAAGAATTAGCCCACGACGTTAAAGGAACATGGAAACTCTCACTCCTCAACCCCAGGTTTCTCAACCTTTCAGCTATGGCCCCCACCCCGCCCCAGTGCAGGGAGTCAGGTTACAAACAAAATGACATCACCACAGGAGGGCTGCCAGCTGCAACCCTTCTTTTCTCTCTGAAGTCCCTGGCCAGCAAGATCATCCCAACGTGATTCTGCAGACGCACAAGCTTCATATGGCTTCCTGGGAGTAGAGGTCAGGATCTGAGACTGGGGCTTGATCCCTGCTGCCCCATCCTCCAGCTGAGAGACTCCAGGAAAGTCACTGCCCACTTATGCCAAGTCCACCGTCTGGGGCTACCCAAAGACTCTTTACCCAGCTTCCCCTAGGCCTCGGCTTCCTCTTCTAAAGCCCAAACATCTGCCCGTAGCTCTGGCAGGGTTAATGTCCCTCCTGAGATAGTTCTTCAGAAGAAAGGAGAAAACAGCTTTCAGGCCTCACTTTCAATTTCTGGGTAGAACTGGGTTTGCATTTTCATGGTCTCAGCCCCTCTGTTAAAAATCACCTCTATATTGCTTTCCTCTCTCTGGAATAGACTCAGGGAGTGAAAACTCAGCTCCTGAGGCATCCAGAACCCTTGCAAGCCAGACGGACTACCTCTGTCCTACTTAGTGCCTGCACCCAGCACCCTAACATCCCAGAAAGAAACCCACGGAGCAGCGAGGGTTTGGAATGATGCTCTGGGGTCTGGGTTACAGCAACCCCAAAGTGTAGAGAACCTACACGACTAAGTTTGTTTACCATCTACCTCCTTGCCTGTGGGCCTGAAAAAATGCCGTCTGCTAAAGTAGCTCATCTGGGCCAAGTGCCCATCTAAGAATCAGCTGGGGCTAGGGAGGGAATTGATCCCCATACTCAGGTCTTCCCCTGGCTCTACGCTCAAAGTTTCTCAGTGACTTGTGCCACCCTCAAGACTGCTCACTACCAGTAGGCTTAGGGGAATAAATCCAGCACCTACCTCCAGGTACATGGACACCCAAACCACCAAAGGGCGGAATGAAGTCTATGGGCAGAGAAGAATCCCAGGTCGTAGAAGGTGGATTGGGAAAGGGAAAAAAAATGAAGGTAGAGGAGATGATGTTGACCGGGGAGGTTCCATGAATGATACTTGTGGGATGTGGGCGAGGAGAATGAGTGTGGGAAGAGAGACTCTGAGAAAGCACCAAAATCCTAAGCTCTGGGGATGGGAGAAGAGTCCAGTGACTTCTGATGTCCATACCAGGATATCTTACTCTGCAGCCATGCAGATTCTAAAGGCACCGTATTTTCTCGTAACTGTCTACCATAACCACAAGTCTGGTCCCAAGAACCAAAGCTCATAATCCTGTCAGAGTCCAACCTTCCCATCATTAAACACACACACACACCCCACAGGCTCCAGTAAAAAAATAACTTTTCATGTACCAAGTACCACTAGCAAGAAGGGGAAGAGTCTCTGAGAGACAGGCAGGCTGGGCCCTGCTTCCTAGTCTGTTTCTGGTGGAGGTGTTTCCTCACCACCTACTCCAAGCAAAACACAAAGCAAAACCAAAAAAAACCTTCTTCTTTCTTTTAGTAAAATATAAAGATACTCTCCACCTTCTTCATGCTGGGTCTTCCAAGCCTGATTCTCTCCTACACCATCCATCTGTCTCAGGGGCTTATAAGAAACTGAGGTGGCCCAGATGAGGCATGACAGGAAGTGCTGCCATTTTTGCTGGGAATGAGGGAGATCCCAAAGCTTCTGAGGAAGCCATGAGTTTTTTGTGGTGAAGAAATGGCAATGGTCTGAGGTCTCTATGGATGGAAGAGAGGGGCTGAAGGAAGGGAGACAAGGATGGGAGAAAGGGGCCGAAGGAAGTGGTGCTGGCCCCTGGCCACATGGGGACCTGTCTCTCTTGCCCAGATAGAAGGTTGGAAGGGGACTCAGTGTGAACTTGACTAACATATATATGGCTTTTTATCAATGCTGGGGACAAAAAGTGGAAAGGGAATGAGACACAACTGAGCATGGGGCAGAAAACCTGGCAGGTCTCCTCCACCACCCATTTGGAATGGACATCCTTCGTTTCTTAGAATTCATAGAGAAGCTTCCCTAAGGAGTGGAAAGATGGGGCTCCCCCATGTGTCTCCTTGGGTGACCAGCTACCCATAGGCGTTCCAGCATGGAGGGCAGAGCAGGGCCCAGGGAATTGGGAGTTGGGGGAAGTCCCAGTGCTTCCATCTGTCTCATTCAGGGAATCTCTGCAATCTGTCCACCATCTCACCCTCATCACCCACCTCCTTCTTACCTGGACCTCAGGGGAACTAAGAACATTTAAGCCTTCCTTTTAAAGTTCTCTGGCTCAGACAGCGTTGCTCCACTTAAATTAAAAGAGAAGCACAGCAAAAGCATGATGGGGAGTCAATGCAAATAAACAGCACTGCTTACATTCTGGAAAGGGAGAAAGCGTCTGTGTTTCCCATCGGAAGAGGGTTGAGATCCAGGAGTTTCATTTTTATCTTTCTGGGTAATGAGACTTCTGTTTCTCCATCGTTTAATATTAATTGTCAATGATAGTGGTATCCTGGGACTGACAGTCCCTGTTAAGAGTCTAGCAAGTAGTTTATTTCCATGAATGTCCCAGAAACCACGTTTCTGGGGAAACAATGACTGACAGGAGGAAGTCTATGATGGCATCAGGCGTTTGGTCCTAGTTCTGGACAAATCCAGTCTCCACATCTTGCTGCCTCCCAAATAGCCACCCATAAAGAATATGGGAGTTTCTGGCATATGCTCAGGATTCTCCATAAGCTGACAGATCTCCCACTTAAGACAGTGGACTTTCTTCACTTCAGGGTTCCCGAAGAGACTTCTCTTCCCACGTAATTTCACTGTCCATGGCTCATTCCAGGAATGAAGAGAGATGCTCAAAGCAACACACACACACACACATATGCACACACACACACACACACACACACTCACACACACAAGGATCACTGGCCACTGCATTGCCTTCCCTGTCAGGAAACAGGATGTGCTGCCATTTTGTTGGTCCAGAACACTAAAAAACAGGAAGTGCTGCAACTTTCTGCCAGAAGAGGGCCTCACTCAGGGTGAGGCGTAACTGAAACCGAAAGAGTGAGAGGGAAACACGACAGGGCATGCAGCAAGGGCAGCTCCTGGGACGATGAAAAGAGCCAAGCTTCTCTTTCACCTATTAGGCGACTCTCCCCACACAGCCTTCAGAGGGAAGTTGGTCTTTAAAAGAGAAAAGGGAAGAAAAAACAAGGACACAATCACAAACAAACAAAAAAACCTCTAAGGTTGCATAACTGAGGTATTGATAGCTCTGGATCTCGTCAGTGTCTGTGAAGGGAGCGGGGTCCCAGCCACTGCTGCCTACTTATTCTTGCCCAGATTGCCCAGAAGTGCATCCACCTCCTCTTCGGGCTTGAGTGAGTGCCACTGAGCAATGGGCCTCCGGGGGTTGGCCAGCATGTCAGACCAGTGCCGCAGCTCCGTGCCTGTGGCGTTGCTGCCCACAAAGATCTTGCCAATGGCTTCATTCTTGCCCAGCTTGTCATAGTCCAGCACGGTGACCACTACCTGGACTTTCTGCAGGGAAAGCAAAGGAGAGAGGGAGTCGGTAGGTGAAGAGGTGGAATTCCATGACCAACCTTCTCCCTCTCCATCAACTTATCTCCAAATGATTGAGCAGGAGAGGCTCCCTGCAGGGCTCCTTGCTTCCATCTCTGGCTCTAAGTGAACTTACATGGAAACAGAGGCCACACTGTTTAGAGGCAATCTCTGTTTCTACCAATAGACATTTCCTGAGCATGTGTTGTGCGCCAGGCACTGTGTTAAGCACGTGGGAGGGGGGAGGGTTGAGGAAAAGTGAAAAGAGGAATTTCATCTTTAATGAGGTCAACAGACACATAATCAAAAACTTACAACACAAAGTGGTAATGCTAGAGAGGTAAGCACAAGGTACTATAGAAATTCAGAGGAGGTGATAATCCTGCTGGGGTCAGGAAAGGGTTCATAGAAGAGGGAAAGTTTGAATTAAAACATGAAGTCTGAGGATTTCTCCAGGCGGGGAAAAAGAGGGAAGAGGATTCCAGAAGAGAAGATTAGCCTGGGTGGAGGTATAGAGACCGTGAGAGTGCATTTAGTGTCCAGAAACAGAACAAGTTCAGAGCTGTTGAGATGCAGAGGAAGAAACAAAGAGGCAGGAAATGAAATCAGTAGGGTGGGTTTGACCAGCTAAGGAGTTTGCATTTTATCCTAGAGGCAAAGAGTAGGAGCTCCTGAAGACTTAAAAGGAGGAGTGACACACATATTTTAGAAAGAAAACCCTGGCATTGAGGTGGAAGACTCACTGGAGGAGGAATGGGACTGGTATCAGGGAGACTCATTGGGGGGCTTGCTGGTGGGCCTGGAAGGGTGGATATTGAATACTCCAACCAAGGCAGTGGCAACAGGGATGGGAGGGTAGAGGCAGATTGCAGAGGTGTCTAGGGAAGAAAATCAAGAGGACTGGATGACTGGTTGGATTTGTTGAGGGAAAGGTGAATGCTTTTCTCCCTCCTGAGCCCAGCCATCTCAGACTGAGCCTTTAGGACCAGGCTTCTCTGGAAAGCCATCCCTGAGTGCTTCACAGCCATCTGCGTTTATGCACATTGAAGCTGTTCTCGCACTGTGTTTGAAGGGCCTGCTGACTGGACCCCCCCGACTGTGAGTTCCTTGAGGGCAAGAACTGTGTCTTCTTTACATTTGTTTCTCTGGCACCTAGGGAGTGACTAGAACTTAGGAAATGTTCAGTATTTGGATAAATGAGAAAGGATAAAGGGCATCCAAGACAGGGAGAAGTCTAAGATGATTCCTAGGTTTCTGACTTAGGCAGCTGGGTAGATGGCGGGGCCATTCACTGAAAACGAAGAATCGAGAAGGAGCAGGTTTGGCTGGGAGGGAAGGTGTGGAGAAGCTCATTATACTGGCTTTGGGCATGTTGAATTTGAGTTGCCTGGGCCAGTATACTTTATCATTGCCAAGCTGTCCATTGTTCCCTTGAAGAACTTCCATAGAGGACACCAACTCTGAAGAGTCCCTTGGCACCTCTGTCCCCCAACCCTCCTGGGGAGAGGAGGTAGCAGCTCATTATAAAGAGGGAGGGACCAAGACTCCAAGAGACCCACCACTCTGCAAGGCCTTGGCCCCATCTGACTCCCAGAAAGGGTGGGTAGGGCTCTTGTCCTACATGTCCTGGTCCCAATCCTGCCCAGAAGTAGCAAAAAAGAGACATCACCTCAAACACTTACAGCACTGGCTGGTGGGAAGAAAAGGAGGAAAGGGAGGGAGCAGAGAAGGGAAGGACAGAGGGAAAAGAGGAGAGACGTAGCTATGACACCAAGAGCACGAGCAACAAAAGTAGATAAATTGGACCTCATCAAAATAAAAAAAAAGTGTGTATCAAAGGACATTATCAAGAAATTTAAATGACAACCTACAGAATGAGAGAAATATTTGCAAATATTAATAGAGCTTAATATCCAGAATATATAAAGCACTACAGCTCAACAACAAAAAGACAACTCAATTAAAAAATGAGGAAAGGACTTGAATAGACATTTCTCCAAAGAAGATATTCAAATGGCCAATAAGCAGATGAAAAGATGCTCAACATCTGCAGTCATTAGGGAAATGCAAACTTCAAAACCACAATAAGATACCACTTCACACCAAATAGGATGGCTATTATCAAAAAATTAGAAAATAAGAAGTGTTGCTGAGGATGTGGAGAAATTGGAACTCTCATCCATTGCTGGTAGGAATGTAAAATGGCGCAGCTACTGTGGGAAAGAGTTTGGAAGTTCCTCAGAAAGTTAACACAGTTATACACTGTTGGTGGGAAGTAAAATGGTACAACCACTTTAGAAATCGATTTGGTGCTTCCTTAAAAAGCTAGAAATAGGAGTACCATATGATCCAGCAATCCCGCTCCTTGGAATATATCCTAGAGAAATAAGAGCCGTCACATGAACAGATATATGCACACCTATGTTCATTGCAGCTCTGTTCACGATAGCAAAAAGATGGAAATAACCTAGGTGCCCATCAACGGATGAATGGATAAACAAATTATGGTATATTCACACAATGGAATACTACGCAACGATAAAGAACAACGATGAAGGCGTGAAACACCTTATAACATGGGGGAATCTGGAGGGCACTATGCTGAGTGAATTTAGTCAGTCACAGAAGGACAAATATTGTATAAGACCACTATTATAAGAACTCAAGAAAAGGTTTAAACACAGAATAAAACATTCTTTGATGGTTACGAGGGTGGTGAAGGAGGGTGAGGGTTATTCACTAACTAGATAGTAGACAAGTATTATTTTAGGTGAAGGGAAGGATAACACACACTACAGGGAAATTCAGCACATCTGGACTAAACCAAAGCTAAGAAGTTTCCTGAATACAATCAAACACTTTGAGGGACAGAGTAGCAGGGGCGGGGGTCTGGGGACCATGCTTTCAGGGGACATCTAGATCAATTGGCATAACAAAGTTTATTAAGAAAATATTCTGCATCCTACTTTGGTGAGTGGCGTCTGGGGTCTTAAAAGCTAGCAAGCCGTCATCTAAGATGCATGAATTGGTCCCAGCCATCTGGAGTAAAGGAGAATGAAGAACACCACAGACACAAGGAAAGTATTAGCGCAAGAGACAGAATGCTACATAAACCAGAGACTCCATCAGCCTGAGACCAGAAGAACTCGGTGGTGCCCGGCTACCATCAATGACAGCCCTGTCAGGGAACACAACAGAGAGTCCCTGATGGAGCAGGAGAAAGATGGGTTGCAGAACTCAAATTCTAGTAAAAAGCCCAGACTTAACGGTCTGACTGAGACTGCAGGAACCCCGAAAAGCATGAGCCCTGGACTCTGTCAACCCAGAACTAAAACAATTCCCAAGGCCAACTCTTCAGACAAAGTTTGGACTGGACCGTGGGACATAAAATGATACTTGTGAAGAGTGTGCTTCTTAACTCAAGTAGATACATAAGACTAAACCGGTAGCTTCTGTCCAGAGGTGAGATGAGAAGGCAGAGAGGGTTAGGAGCTGGTTGAATGGACACGGGAAATCAAGGGTGGAGAGGAGGAGTGTGCTGTCACAGTATAGGGAGAGCAGTTAGGGTTACATAACAATGTATGTATAAATTTTTACATAAGAAACCAACTTGAAATGTAATCTTTCACTTAAACTACAACATGAAACAAAAAAATAAAAAGAGGCGAAGGAATAGAGACACATAAAAATGAAGACATTTGGAGAAAAAAAAGTTAAACACAGAACTACCATATAACCCAGTAATTCTACTCCTAAGTATATACCCAAAAGACCTGGAAGCAGGGACTCAAACAGATACTTGTACACCAGTGTTCACTGCAGCATTGTTCATGATAGCCAGAAGCTGGAAACCACCAAGTGGGCATCAACAGACGAATAGATAAACAAAATATGCTATATACCTACAACGGACTATTATTCAGCCATAAAAAGGCATGAAAACATAACACACGCTACAACATGGGTGAATCTTAAAAAACATCACGCTGAGTGAAATAAGCCAGACACAAGGGACAAATATTGCCTGAGTCTATTTATGTGAAGTATCTAGAATAGGTCAATTCATAAAGACAGAAAATAGAGTAGTGGTTACCAGGGACTGGAGGGGGGCAATGAGGAGTCATTGCTTAATGGGTGCAGAGTTTTCGTTTGGGATGATGAAAAAGTGTTGGAACTAGATGGTAGATGGAGATGGCTGGACAACATTGTGAATGTAATTAATGTTACTGAATTGTACACTTAAAAATGGTTAAAATGGCAAATTTTATGCTATATATATTTTACCACAATAAAATAATTTTCAAAACAGAGAGAGGGGAGAGATAAAAGGAGTCAGAGGGGTAAATGGTAGCAGCCTGCCTCTCCAACAGAAGTGGGGCAGAGATGGCCCAGTAGGGAAGGGGCTGGGGTAAGATGGAGGCGGCCATTCCCACCTCCTCACGTCAGCTCCCAAGCTCACTGGTGCCTGTGATACACCCTCGCCCCCCCATGTGCTCCACCACGTACCTCAAAGTCCTAAAGGAATGCTTTGTGGATTTTTTAAATTAGTTCATGTTCGTCTCCACAGAAAGTGGAGCTCTGGAAGAGGCCCTTTGGGAGGAGGCCCCTTGGGAGGAGGCCCCTCTGTAGCACCATTAGACCCAGAGCCTTCCTCCACCTGAGTAAAGCTCTTCCTCACTGCCCCCTACCCCAAACATGCTTGCCTCCCTCACCCCCGCACCATGCCTACAACCCGAAGGGCTGAAGCACCTGAATCTGCTCAAACGGGATCTCAAAGCTGAAGGACTCGTTAAAGTACGGGTTCAGGGTCTTCTTCTTCACCGTCGTCTTCTTCTTCTTGAGCCTCTTGCCGTTCTGCATCAGGTGAATCTTCACGTAGGGATCTGAGGGGGGAGAACCCCACCCCAGGAAGGTTCCCATTAGCCCTCCACCATCCCACCTTGCTGACACCCTGCTAACATTAAGTCCAGAAGACATCAGAGCCATCATATCGCCCAGGGATAGCAAAAAGCTTTCACCTGAAGCATCAATTCTGATGGATTGGTTGTGGCTGCCTGGAGCATAATGTGGGGGAAATTCCTGAGTCTAAGTAAGGTCTCCTGGGAGAGAGTGTGGGGGTTGATTGGTGATGTCTGTCAGAGGCAGTGGACAGAGGCACGCTGAAAGCATGACACACATCTGCCATCCCTGATCCAATCCAATCTCCCTAACCTGGCAGATGACAAATGGGGGTCCAAAGGAAGGAAGTGCCCTGCCCAAGGGCACACAGGGTGTCAATGGCAGAGCTGGGATGAGCACGGAGGCCCGCAGGTCAAAGCACAGGTTCGGGGCTGATTCTCCACCTTCCCACCAGAAGCCTGTGCTGTGGGCCAGCCCCAGTCACTGTCAGTACATCTGAAACCCAGAGCACTGCCCCTGGAGTCCTCTTTCAGGGCAGAGCCAGCAGAGCCAAGAGCCTCTTCTCAAAAAGTGCCCCCCCCATTCCCCCCGATTGTGGCATCAGGACTGGAGGGGCATGCTTTGAGTTAAGCCCCGCTCATTTCCTACAGCCTTCCCTGGGAAAGTCACTAACCCATCTAGGGGATGAAGTGTATCTGATACTTTCCTCCAAGACCCATAAGACACGAGAGCACCTGGGAAGGCAGCTCCAAAAGGGGGAGAAGACCCTCAGAGAAAAGAAGGGGCTGGGAAGGCAGACTCTCCTGCTCCACAGTCCTGCCCTCGGGGCCCACAGCTGGTCAGAGACATCCACAAGAAAGCTTTCCTTCTAACTGGGGGCGTGCCAACACCGAAGGCTCCAGGCGGTGGCTGGCTCGCTGGTGCCACCCAATGGTAGCCCAAAGCTCTGCACGCACCTGAAAGGCCCCCGACGTCCATCTTCTTCAGGTTCTTGGCCTCCAGGATGCAGACGGTGAGCTTCCCGGCCGTGGGCACGTAGCGCAGGGAGGTGCAGATGTCTCCCAGCTTCTCTGGCTGTCGGGGGAGAGAGGACTCAAGGTCATCTCAGCAACCCCACTTCCTCTAGCCTGGTCCAATCCCATGTTGCCCAGTCTAGCAAGGCAATGGTTTGTCCCCACCTCCCTCAGTCACCAGCCCCACATTTGTGAAGGCTGAGAAGGTATTTCCCCCTCTGAGCTCAGTGCCTCCTGCTACCGCTCAACAAAGCCCCTGAGAGTGCCTGGTCAGCACCCACTGGAGCCCTGGGCTAAGGGTCCACAGGGGATGCGGACAGAGCAGGCTGCCATAGCAGGAATGAGTGAGTGAGCCTCTGCGGATCTGCAGGCAATGCGGGACATGTTTGGGCTCCTACCCGCTGGCTTGCTCCCAGGACAGTGAGGCCTAGGGTGGTGGGAAGGGGGAGGAGTGGGCATGGAACCAAGTCTTCGTTTTCAAGGGCTCTGGGTGGCTCAAATGGTTTGCACTTGGCTACTAATCCATAGGTCAGCAGTGCCACAGAAGAAAGGTCTGGTGATCTGCTTCTGTAAAGATTACAGCCAAGAAAACCCTACAGAGCTCAGTAAAAGCCACTAACTCTGTAACTCTGTAACACATGGGGTCACCATGAGTCGGAATCCGCTGGAGGGCGACGAGTTTGTTTGTTTGGTTTCTGGGAGACTGAGCAGGGCTACCTCAAGAGCCTTCCTCCCTGATGTCTCCCCCTCACTGAGCGCTCTCCCTGTCCACCCCTCCTTCGGGGGCGTGAGTTGTGGTTTTCAAAGCACTTTTGTGTCCTTTCCTTCTGCTATTGCACCGCAACTCTTTCATGTGGACAGGACGAGGATTCTTTTTTTTTTTTTTTAACTTTAATTTTAACTTCTCTGATAGATAAACTTAGTATCTAATATCATTATTAGTATTTCCAACAACATAAACAGTGATAATAATAACAGCAATCAAAAGCACCTCACATTTTATAAAATATTTTCACGTGCATTATGTCATTTGGCAAGGATTCTGTTTGAAGAGCGAGAAACCGAGGTTCAGACGGGGAGAATTTGGTCAAAGTCCCACACACGCACTGGGGGAAGGATGTGGACCCAGCACTCCTGGTTCTTAGACTCTCTCTCAACACCACTCTGCCTGAGTCAAATCGCAGAGTCAGGACCCCGGGCCACCGCTGAGCACATCGCAGGTACCCTGGCTCAGGTGTGCCGGCCCTGCCTCCCAGCCACAGCGTGCGCCCCGAAGGAAGGATGGATGTCTTAAGTAAGCATCTCTTCTAGTCCCTCCATTACTGCCCAGCACCATGCCAGGCACACTGCAGGCGCTTGGCTAGGTACCAATGACTGATTCCTGGAAGGGAATAGTGGCTACAGTGGAATTTTTGGCACACAATAGGTGCTCAATACGGAGCGCTGGTGGCGCAATGGTTAAGTGCACGGCTGCTAACTGAAAGGTTTGAGGTTCAAACCCACTAGCAGCTCCTTGGGAGAAAAGACCTGGCAATCTGCTCCCATAAAGATTACAGCCTAGGAAACCCTATGGGGCAATTCTACCCTGCCCTACAGGGTCCCTATGAGTCAGAATCAATTTGATGGCACACAACAACAGGTGCTCAGTAAAGATTTAGTGAATGAATAAATGCTGTATCAGTTGCTGGAAGGACAGGCTCCCGTGCCAAGAATCCTTTAGAACAAAAGTCGGCTTTCCTTGTGGGTAAACTGAGGCCCTAGGTGATAGCAGAACCTTTGGAGTAACAATAATAACGGTGCTTTCATTTATTTGAATGCCGACTAATGCCCGACACTATGCTGGGTGCTTTACATAGCTACTCAATCCTCATCTGTAAAAAGAGAAGAAAAAGAACAACTTGGGTCCAAAGAGATAAAGCAACTTGCCCAGGGTCGCACAGCTAGGAGGTGTGGAGCTGGGACCCTAACGCAGCTCGTTTGGCTCTAAAGCCCACCTATTCCTATCGTGCCAAGCAGCAGAAGCCCAGGCAAGCAGCCCTTGACTGTGTCCTCCTGCCTGGGTTGGCCTCTGCTCTCACCTCCTCCTTCTCGCCACCTTGCAGGTCTCTCCACTCCTCGATGGGCTGGCCGAGGTCCACCGTGTTCATGGGCACCTTCACCTCTCCAATGATGTCGTGTTTGGAGAAGCGGTCAAAGTCGTAGATGGCCATCACTAGGGTTTTGCCCCCCAGCTCCTGGTATGGCACCTGCAGGGCACAGTCAGGGGCAGAGAGGGGTCAGAGCAACTCCTGAAACTTCAGGGGGCACTGTGGGCAGTCCCTAGGCCCAGCGTCCATTCCAACTGGTCTAGGGCTCCCAGGGAGTCTGTAGACAGAGAAGATCCAGGCTCAGGGAGAGCAGAGTGCAAGGGCGGGACGGGAGGGGTCCCAATGCTGCAAAGAGGCTGGGTAGGGACCTTACGTGTGGGTAGACACCCTGCCATCGTTCCAGACTGAGTTGGTCCCAGAGTCCTCCACTACAGCTAAGGACCAAGGAAAGGTGTGCAGAACCCAGAGTGAAAGTGGGGTCAGGGAGGGAGCTGGCAGCATCACCTTGAAGGTGAAGGTTTCGTTGAAGGCTGGGTTCAGTGTCTTCCGGTGGACTTTGGTCTCATACTTCTTCTTCTTGTCTGGAAGGAGGAAGACTTTGACATAAGGGTCGGAGGTGCCTCCCATGTCCAGGGCAGGCAGTTCCGCAGCCTGCAGAACGCCCACTGTGAGCTGTGGAGAGACAGAGGGAGGAGTCCTGAGTCTCAGAATGGCTATGACACCAGATTGGGCCCCAGACCCAGCACCCACCAACCTCTCCCCAGGGGTGGGCTGTGCAAGGTGGGGAAGGCTGGTGCTGGAGAGGAGATCAGCCTCCATCGCCATCCCAGGAATTCACAGTGACATATGGGGAACCTGGAGTCGAAAGGGCAACTGATTAGCCCAGGGTTGTTGGGCAGGTTAATAGCAGGGTCAGCCTGGGCTGACGCCTCCCCCAGAGCAGGCTGGCAGCCAAGTCAGGATTAGTGTCTAGGGGTATATGTCCTGTGGTGTCAACCCGGCCCACTCCATGGAAAGGAGTAACGGCCACATGCGGTGGGGGGGTGTTTTCCATCCCTCCCATCCAACTCCCACCCTCTCTCTCCTTCCCCACCTCGCCCTCTAGCCCAGCCTCAGATACCTGGTTGGCCTGGAAATCATAGTCCAGGGAAAACTGCAGTTTGCCCAGGTTCTCCGGCTCTTTCTCCTCCTCTCCTTCACCTTCTCCCTCAGTCAGGCCTCCCTCTGCATCGTCATCGTCCTGTGGAGGCTGGGGCAGGGGAGGCACACGTTAACAGGGGAGAACAGAGAAGCTGGCTTGGCACAGGAGCAATGGAAGCCTGCCCCTTGGGCCAGACCCTGACTCAGAGCTGGATGTGGGCTAAGGGATGGGGTGAAGCACTGTCCAGGGGACTCTGCTTCCCCATGGCCCATCAGAATCTTCAGTCTGTTCCTCCAGGGCCATCCCTGAGCCCCTGGGAGCCCCAGCCCTGGGCTGGGAAGACACGACTCTGGTATTTGGTGTGCCCCTGTCCTTCCATGGGCACAGTACCAAGTGCCAGCAACTACGCCAAATGCTTTACATTTCTCAAGGTGTGGGAACTGCTTCCCTTACTAGCCCGCTCCCTAGTACCTCCCCAGCTCTGACCCTACCCATCCTGGGCAAGACATACCAGGTGTTCGGTCCAGGAAGACAGGAGCAGGGGGAGTCCACAGAGGTGGGAAGAGGAGGGAAAAAGTGACATAAGAGAAAGCCCCCAGCTCAGACCAGCCCCTCAAGTTGCAGCCACTTGGTAAGACCAGGGGGGCTGTGCCCAGTAATACTTGGAAACCCCCCCACAACACACACACTGTAGTTTTCCTCTGGGCACACATACACACACATACACATGTGCACATACATGTGTGCACACGTGCAAGCACTCAGAGGCCATTTTGATCCCTAGCCGATTCCTTCTTGAGATCAGACCCTACCTTCCACCCTCCATATTGTTTCCTCAAGCAAGAGACTTCTCCCAGTAACTCCCAAAACAAACACGGAGCACATGAGGAACTTTGTAAACTTCAAAGGAGAAAGTTCGGTATATCAAAGGACCTTTCCAGGCCAACCGAACTCAGACTTAAATAACTAAATTACGAGAATAGAGATGGATTCAGGTTGGCCCTGTCTTGGTGTCTCAGGACAATTCTTCTCCTTCCATTTATTCCCCACCACACCCCAGCTAGATCTCTCCAATGAGATATCACCCTCAGTTCCTTCTAACAGAAAAACACAGGGCTACCCAGATGGTGTCTTCCCGGGGAGCTGTCTCTTTCTCTAACATTTTTCTCCAATGGCCTCTTTGGGGTCAACACCGCCCTCTTCCTCTGTCTTTTGAAGGACACATTCATGCTAGCATGCAACTAAGTCCCCCCTTCCCACTAGCCAAGCTATAGATGATGTTACACTAGAGATGGAGCAATAGGGCTGAGGCGTCTCTTCATGCAAAGTTTTGAAAAAGGGGAGCCAGCTTGTTTGAAGGAAGGGAGCCAGTTTGGCTGTAGATACCCAGAAGCCTCTGTTTCACCTTTTACCATCAGGAAGGCCTGGATGGGCCTCTCCCGGCCCCCCCCACAGCCCTTTGGTGTCCTACCTGACCCCCTTTCATATCCTTCATGTTCATGGCACTCTTCATGCCTTTGCCCTTCTCCTTCTTGTTCTTCTTCTTCTTGCAGCAGCACTTCTTGCAGATGCAGAAGCAGCAGGTGAGGAGGAGGAGGCCAGCGACCACAGCAATGGCGATCAGTGCCCAGGGTGGTACTGCCCACAAAGAGAAGACCCCAGGAGTCAGCAGTGCCCTGTCTCACAGCTTCTGAGCCCACAGCATTGCCAAAAAATGGGTCAGGCCTATCACCCTCAATGCCCACACTCCTCAATATGTTTTAACCACACACTCATAGTGATTTGCATGTACAATGCATATACTTTGCATGCCTTTTCAAGAAGATCTCATGCACTTTCCTTAGCCTACTGTCCTTGGGGATACGGTCTGCTAACTGAGGGGTGGCAACCAGGTATATATGTAGAAGAACATCAGTTCGACTCTACTGGGCGTTAACTAGTTTGATCTATGGAAAACTGGCCCTGCAGAAGAGGATGGAATAGTCCTTATCAGACCTAGCTGTAGAAAGAGCCCGTTGGCCCTACCTCACGCACCCAGTCATGAGAGGGATGACGCAGAGACAGAAGGGCCAAACTAGGTGTAGCCTTGACCTAGAAGACTTAGCTTCAGGTGTTTGGGGATGGGCTCTGGGCTGCTCTCCGTGGTTCTGAATCACCACCTCCCACCCGACGCTGGATCTCTGGGTCTCCTGTACAGCCTTTGCCAGAAATTCAGAAAGCAATGGGGGCTTTTATTTCTTATCTTCCGAAACAAAGTAAGTTTAAAGTGTCACTGGAAAACTCAAATAGTGATTTCTGTTTCACAGTTTTTCATCTTTCTTTGGTTTTATCTTCTTTTGACAGTTTTCTAAGTTATAAAAACTTCCTTTTCCTCTTGGAGGTTGGGGGCACATAAACCCATTGTTCCCTGCACTGATGCCAGACCACAACTCCCCCTCTTTGTGAAGGGCATCCCCAAAGAATCCAGCTTGAAATCTAAGCATTAAGAAAGAACCCAGTCAACCACATTCCACTGGTCCCCCCACTCCAGACTTGGACAAACCCTGCCCTGCCCACAGGACCATTCCCAGACTCTAGTCTTGCCCCACCCTCTCAGCCACCAGGGTCCACTCACAGGGAATCTTGTTGATCTCATTGAAGAACTTCTCCTTCAGCTTGGCAAACACGTCCTCCTTGCTCTCTCCAGCACCCCCACTCTCGGTGGAGTTGTCTACAGGGCCAATTGGCATTGTGGCGGTGGTAGTGGCAGGAGCCACAATGGGCTCCTGGTTCCTCTTGAAGATGTTCCTCATGATGGTGGAGGGGAGAGCTGGGGATAAGAGGGGAAGGGGGCAGGGTGAACATCCTAAAGTCCCAAGCACAGAAATCCTTGCCCAAAGGACCAGAGAAGTTTTTCCAAAAGGTAGACTATTGATAGCAATCCCTTTATAGTTGAAAGCTCTTTCCTGTAATATTAACAGTGATGGTAAAACAACAATAGTAATACCTATCATTAAGTTAGTCCATAAATGTGTCAGGCACTTTCTGTGCATCATCTCATTTAATCTAAACAACCTAACACATTATTATTACCATTTAACAGATGAGGAAACTGAGGCTCAGAGAGGTTAGGATGTTTCCCCAGGGTCACTTAGCTAATGAGTTCTAAAACTGAGGTTTGAACCAGTCTGCCTGCCTTCAAAGCCTATATACTTAATCACTTTCATATATCTCAATTAATCCTAACCTCTAAATAACTCTAGGAAGAAGGCCAGGTTTTCCCACTGGGGACTCCTTAAACTTTTCTCCTCCTTGACTTTAATGACATTGCTCTGCCTGGATTTTATGCCTGTCTCCGTAACCCTCATACTCTGTCATCATCCCTGGCTCCATTTCCTCCTCCTGCACTCTAACTATGGGTGTCTCCAAGATTCTCTCCTCAGCCCTCTTCTCTTTCTTCACTGGCTCCCTCAGCATGCACTCGGGATTTGTTTCAGCCTCTTTTCTAGGAAGATGGTGCCTAAACTTCCATTTCTAGACTCTTTCTTCCCTGGGTTTGGTCTAGACCTTCAGCCCCCAAGGTCTCTGAGCCTCCAGCCCTGCCCCTTCTGTATGGACACACATTACCCTTCCTATATCAAATACTTTGGACATGTTATCAGGACGGATCAGTCCCGGGAGTAGGACACCATGCTTGGTAGAGGGTCAGTGAAAAAGAGGAAGATCCTCAATGAGACGGGTTGACACGGTGGCTGCAAAAATGGGCTCAAGTATAACAATGACTGTGAGGATGGCGCAGGACTGGGCAGTGTTTCGTTCTGTTGTACACAGGGTCACTATAAGTCGGAACTGACTCAATGGCATCTAACAACAACATATCAAATAAATGTTATTTGTTAATAATAAAAATAATCCACGCTTATTGAAGAAAATTTGGGAGAGAAAGAAAGAGAGAGAACCCATAATTCTACCATCCAGAGAAAAGTAAGGTTAGCATTTTGGGACATTTTATACTAACATTTTTTCTGAGTGTTTGTGTGTATGTATGTTGTGTGTGTGCATGTGTGTCTGTATGTTTACACGTTGGACTGTACTGTATATAGTTTGTCATTCTGCCCTTTCTTTACATAAAATTTTATCATAAGCATTTTCCTTTACCATTAAAAAATTTTTATCAGTAAATAGCTAAATAATATCCCACTACAGGGTAATAACACAATTTGCTTAGCGATTCCACTCTTAGACATTCAAGTGGTTTCCATCATTTTGCCAGTAAAAATACTGTGATGAACATAAATCTTGGTCTTCATTTAAGGCAACATTCTTAGGAGCTTCTAAACTGCCACTCTCGAGTCCTGGCCTCTTCACTGAGCTATTTCTCCTTCTCAAAGTGGGGGCACTTGTCTCCTCTAAACTGCAGGCCACATGAGGGCAGATCCCGTGTCAGCATCCTCACCCCTTTATGCCAAGCACACAGTGGATGCCCGGGAAGTATCTGTTGGCTGTGTTTCCCTGGGAGAACACAGCATGGACTCCAAGGGTCACTCCAGGTCACAAGAATAAACAGCATATCTCCTTAGAGCATCAGTTTTACTTAACAAAATTTGAAGTCTTATTTTATTAAAACGAACATGCTGATATTACAGAGTAGGATGCAAACATCATGAGAATTTGAAAGGTAAAACGTGAAGACTTTTCTCATTGTATCTTCTGGTCTAATTCTATGTTACATTCAGGATTCTTCTGAGGGCAAGTTTTAGTAGCTCCAATGTTCTATCCTTCCTTTTAAGACCCTAACTGAGTCCTCACCCCCCACAGAGATGGCTCCAGCCTTCAAGAGCTGCTGGTGACCTGGCGATTGTTGTTCTTAGGTGCCGTCAAGTAGATTTCGACTCATAGCAACCCCATGTGACAGAGTAGAACTGCTCCAGAGGGTTTCTAAGGCTGTAATGTTTATGGGAGCAGATTCCAAGTCTTTCTCTCGTGGAGCTGCTGGGTAGGTTTGAACCACTGACCTTCCAGTTAGCAGCCAGTGCCTAACCAATGAGCTACCAGGGTTCCTTGACCTGGCTGTAGTGAGTAAAAAAAAAAGACTGGAACAGGGCATGACTCCAGAGAGAAGGGAATAAAGAGTTGAAAACAGCCAGTAATAAAGCTCTGTGATCCCCAAGTTCTTACAAAAGACACGACAGTGATCATGGGGAGCCCAGCAGAGGGAGTGCCATCCAGCTGCCAAGAGGGAACACCAGACAGCAGAGCCTGGAACAGCCCTTTAAATTCATCCCCAACAAGAAATATGAGGCTAAAGCTGCCCAGATAACAAGGGAATCCTGAAGACACTTAAGAAGGTGACTTGATAAACGGCAGGCGTGGGGCAGGGCTGGGAGAGTTGGCCAGGGCAGGATTCAGGGCCCATCTGCTCAGTTATTCATCCAGGAAATGGCACCCCTCGCTTGGACCACAAGCCGTGGGGTTGTCCTTGACTCCACTCCTTTCCTCCCCTCCCACATGCAGGACAGCACCTGGGAGTCTGTCAACTCTCCTCACAAATTCGGCCACTTCCTACCCCTCCACCTGGAATACTGCAATAGCCTTCTATCTGGAAGCTTCCATTCTTGCTCCACTCAGTCTAATCTCCACATTGCAACCAGGCTGATTTACTTAAAACCCTCCAATGGCTTCTTATCACACTTAGAATAAAACTCCTACTTGGCCTGGCCCTGGGTAGCTCCCCAAATGCATCTCCCAGCACCCCAGCTCTCAGCCACTCCGCCTGTGACGTTGGCCTTCTGGCTGCCGGCCATGGACTCGGCACACACACTCCCATCTCACAGCTGTGTACTTACTTTCCCTCAGCCTAGAACGCCCTTCCCCCAGGAATCCTTTGACCTCCCTGGGCCCCCCATTATACCTCCTGTCTTCATTCCTCATCATGGTCTGTCATGTCAATAACTTTTTCCCTCACTTTCTAAACTCCCTTGCTTCTCTGTATTTTTGTGGCACTTACCTGGCAGAAATCCCACGATCAGCTTCCTCTTCCCCATGGCTGCCCCCAGACTGCTGAGCACTGCTGCTGAGAATCCTGCACGAGGGCAACTCACCTGGGCACCAGGTACACTCCCGACATCACCTGGCCTCTTGACACTGCATGTTATTGGCTGCTGTTGAGTCAGCCCTGACTCAGGGCAACCCCATGCCCAACAGAACTAAATGCCGTCCAGTCCTGCGCCAGTCCCATGATCGTTGTGCACTGGATCACTGTGATCCATACTGTTTTTATTGGCTGATTTTCAGAAATGCCAGGCCTTTCTTCCTACTATTTCTTAGTCTGGAAGGTCTGCTGAAGCCTGTCCAGCATCATAGCAGCACACAAGATGCATAGTGTGCACATGAAGTGCACTGGCTGGGGATCGAACCCAGGTCTCTAGTATGGAAGGTGAGAATTCTACAACTGGACCACCACTACCCCCATTAACACTTCACAGAAACCTTACTATGGCTCCCAATTCACTCTGCCTCCCTTCACAGTGGAGACTCCAGACCTTCTCCTGTCCCCACAGACCCGCGGCTCTCCTCTTTCTCTTTCTGTTAACTCTAGGAAAAATAGAAGCCATAGAAGAAAAGTCCCCCAAAATGCCCCCCATCCCAGGCCAAATCGTAAACCTACATGCACATTAACCCACCCTGTCCTCGTGGCTTTCCATTTCGGTTAAGATTTTCCCTCCTGTTTGAGGCCCGTCCTCCATCTTTGTGGAATCTCTGCTGATCTCAGGAAACCTTCTCAGTCTCTGTTGTTTCTTATGCTTAACCTTTCCCCTTTTCCTCTGCTGGACCTTTCCCATTTTAAAACACCACCAACCAGTATTTTAGGTCACGCAGCTAATCAGCATCTGAGGCACGATCCAAATATGTGACTGTCTACCTCTAAAACACCACCGACCACCAGTATAAGGTGTATTAACCATATTTTGTAGCTCCTGTAATACGATGTTTTAACATTCACACCAAGTAACCCTTCACCCATGTCTGCTATGCCCAGATAAGAAGTTCTCCTAGTTTCCCCTTTAGTAAATGCTCAGGTCTCAAGGCTCTAATTTCAAATAGAAAACAGCTGCCATCAAGTCAGTTCTGACTCTTCATGACACCATGTGTGTCAGAGTAGAACTGTGCTCCATAGGGTTTGCAATGGATGATTCTTCTGAAGTAGATCACCAGGCCTTTCTTCCGAGGTGCCTCTGGGTGAACGCAAATCTCCAACCTTTCAGTTAGCAGCCGAACACGTTAACCAATTTAGCTGACCGATAAAATACCCATGTGCTCTGGTCTCTTCCTGTCACATTTCCTATGAAAACCACAATCAAGGTGTTTTCCCACGGTCCTGCTCTATCTCTGCTTTGTGAATGTGCCTGAGTTTTCTCCGTGTGGCCCTGCTTGGTATGCTGTAAACGCCAGGGACTGTGAGTATAATAAGTTTTTAAATGTCTCCATCCTCCCCTCTCTTGATTTGTTTTCGACCTTACCATACCTCAAACATTACTAGTATACCAAGTTAAAATATGAAGATACACATAGAGACCAATGGAATAGAATTGAGAGTTCAGAAATAAACCCATAGACCTATGGCTGATTGGTTTCAACAAGGGTGCCAAGTGTATTCAATGGAGAAAGAATAGTCTCTTCAACAAATGATGCCAGGACAACTGGATCTCCACACACAGAATGAAGCTGGATCCCTATCTCACACCATACATAAAAATTAACTCAAAACTGTTCAAGGACCTCAATATAAGAGCTAAAACCATAAAACTCCTAGAAAAAAAACATA